CTGCGATTTAAAAAAAAAAAAAAACCCTTAAAAAACAACCAGAGTCTTGTAGCACCTTAGAGATTAACCAAAAAATTCTGTCAAACTCCACCTCGCTTTTACGCAGATCCCTGTTTTTATAAAACACCAACAGTTGAGTGAAGTAAAGTGCTACCAGCTGTAGGACTGCCATGTGATTAGGACAAATGAGAGAATTTGAACACAGAGTGAAATATCAGACAAAGAACAAATGAAGATTTGACTTCATCCTCTTTATCAATAATCATTAGTGGTTCCAGCCAATCTTTCTCCTATATTTCCTGGGACTGAAAGAAATAGGAATTCACCTCTTCTGAGGTCCAGTCATAACAGCTACAGTTGAGTGTTCTTTCAGAACATAAAATTCTATTCCATGGGGGAAAAGAAGTTATCTTCTGCCTGATCACGGACATATCACAAAGGACTAGAAATACTAGTGTCACTGAAGTGTGGCATTGTGCAGGGCTGGGAAACAGGGAACCAGCCAGCAGACTCTGGAAGAGCTGCAGGAGGGGCAGCAGAATGGAGGCAGCCTTAGAATAAAGACGCACAGTGACCACCTGTTCAGCTGGGCTCCAGGAGAGTCAGGGAACACAGGTTTCTCCTCTGCCCCGAACCTCCCACTGGCCAGTGTGGCTGTGTGCCCAGACCAGTAGGGATGCTGTCCCAGCCCCTCCCCTTCCCACCATAGTGAATCTGTCTCCTTAGTTTCTAGCACGACACTGTCGCCTCACCTTCCCAGTAGGCAGGGTAAAGAGCAAGATGTCCAGAGACCACAAGTCAACAGAAGGGCTGCAGGGTCCTCCGCTCAGCACTGCTGGGCCTGTCGATCCCAAGAGAGAGCAGAGTCAGGGTTTGTGCAGTGCCCCAACCCCATTGCCCAACAATCGCCTTTGCCAGCTTACCCATGCACTGCAGGGCCCACAGATGGTGTTCATTCAGAAAGGGACATGTTCTAATCAGGCAGCTTGTGAGGCCCTCCTGTGGCCAGCCACTGTAAGAGCCACCCAGGTCCCACCACAGGCTGAATCAGGTCTTGGGCAGCACTCGCCAAATTAGTGGGGGAAAAGCAGCTGCCCACTTCCTCCCCCCAGGGCCGGATTAAGGCATGGGCT